CAGCACAAGTGTTACATCGTGGCCACAGTTGACTGAGACCTTAAACGAAGAATCCAGAAAATCCCTGGAGTTCCTATCATGTATATTTCTAACCACAGATACAATATTGAACGATGTCAGATGATTAATAGAGCCCCTTGGTTCTAATTCTTATAAGACAACGTTCGTATGCCTTTCTTCAACCAACTTTCTCTGTTAACAGTTTGTTAAAAATGAAATACCATGAATTATTATTCTGTTCATCAGCTTGCTTTATTATGACCTGGAGGATGTATGTTAAATACACTCATGTTTGGATACTATTTTGAATGATATTTTATGAGGGAGGGGGATTGGAGGGATCACTTCTGAGGTTTATCTTATAAGGGTACAAGTGAATCTTTCTAAGAGTAGAATGTGAACATTTTAAAACAATAACTAAGAAAATGACATAAAGGCTATATTAACCAGTTTGATGGAAGTGTTTCAGGTTATGTGTGAAAACCCCACACTGTACCCCAGAAGTGCATTAATGTACATAGTTACCATTCAATAAAAAAAATGATATTTTATCTCATTGATGGACAAAAGCTTATGAAGAATGCTTCATTCTTTTTTGAGTTCTGTTGCACAATGTGGTAATTATAGTTAATATCAGAGTAAATTTCAAATGTTCTTACTACAAAAATGTTAAGTATTTGAGGTGATGGATATATTGACTAGTTTGATTTAATTATTCCATATTGTATTCATAGATTATAACATCACTGTGTACTCCATAAGTTTATACAAGTATAAATCATTGGTTTACAATAAAAATAAAATTGTTGCGTCTTTTTGTAAAAAAAAAAAAGGAATGCTTTAGGCATGTCTACCCATGCACATACATGTGCTCCCAAGTAGCCAAAGAGTTAACTATCAATTACTGAAATAGCAGCACTCTATTTCTCACTCTTTATCCTTTTTAGATTCATTCAGCACTGTATTTTAATCTCCTTCCTCCCTGTGGATCTTATGTTAAATCCAAACCATGATTAAATCATTTGGCCCTTGCTGTCTTCAGAGCATGAACAATAACTTAATTAAAACCAAGGGACAAAGTATAAACTTGGGAACAACATATTAGTTTCTCAAATAGTTCTGAACAGAATTTATGTTCTGAAAGAGAAAATACACAGCTCGTTAGGTATGAAGTCAACATGATGAGGTATTCTAATGTTTCTGTTGGGTAGAATTTGTTTGATAAACCTCCTTTTCTGGTTTCTTCCTCCCAAGCATATCAGAATTCTCAGTATGTACTACTTTTGTATTTCTTTTAAACAATAAATTCTCTCTCCTCTTTTTCTCCTATATCTGAAATCACAAGGTTAATAAAAATATCTTTGAAAACTGGATCCAATAAAAAGGTCTTTAATAATTGCTTTGAACATTTAGCAGCCTAGTATTTATTATTCTTTCAAATACCCTACTTCTCTAGAGTACTTCTTAATTTAAGGGGCTTCATAATTCTTCTATAGACTATGGGTCCATGCTCATTAACATAACCACTAATGTAGGGTACAGTAGGTCCCAATATAACTTCATTTATTCATAGCACATATTTACTGCATTTCTACTATGGAAGCAGGCCCTGCGAGCACTGCAGGTGTGATGCTGAGAAAAACAGAAACAGGCTCTCTTCTCACAGAGAGAATGACTTGAATCAAATCACTGTACTTTTGAATATATAATTACAAACTGAGACAGGCATTGTCAAAACAAAGAATAAAATTCCATGAGAAATTATTATAAGAAATTTGACTCAACTTGGGGGTCAAGAAAAGTCTTCCTGAAAAAGTGATACTTAAGTAGAAATCTAAAAGATGACCAGATACCCAAAAGGACTGCTATCTGCGGGGGGCAGGGGAGGTGAGGAGGAAGGTTGTCCGCAACTAAAGAGAAGTTTGTGGAAAGATCCTAAGACAAGTGGTGTTATCAGCTTCCTATAGCTGCTATAACATGTTGTCACAAACTCAGTGGCTTCAAACAACACAAATTTATTATTTTAACATTCTGGTGGTCAAAGTCCAAAATGGGTGCCATAGAGCTAACATCAAGGTGTTGACAAGGTGGCACTCCTCCTACAAGATTTAGGGAAGAATCTATTCCCTGGCCTTTTCCAGCTTCTCAGAGCTGCCTGCTTTCCTTGACTTACGGCCTTCTTCATCCCATCCACCTTCAAAGTCAGCAACAGCCAGCCCAATCTTTTCCATGATGACTTCCTCTTTGATTTTCTCTCTTCTATTTCTTTTTTTCACTTATGATCCTTAGACCCACCCAGATAATCCAGAATAATCTCATCTCAAAGTTTTAACATAATCACATCTGCAAAGACCCCTTTCCCATGTAAGATAACGTTCAAAGTGTCCAGGGATTAAGATGGACATCATTGTTATGTCTTACATAAAGATATCATGTTTTATTCATGAACTGAAAAAAGGCCAGGGTAGCTAGGGGGCAGAAAGTGAAGAGAAAAGATAAGGAAGGCTGGGGAGGTAGGCAAAGACCACACTATTCCTAACATCAGAAACCATGCCTAGAGTTTTAATCTTTATTTTAAGAACACCGAGAAGCCACCAAAGGGGTAACAGATTAGATTTGATATTTTTAAAGATTCCTCTGGCTACTGGGTAATTATTTAAAATGGCACAGTTTCAGAAAAAAGATAATGGAAGAAAAAATAGGCAGTCATATTATTAAGATTATTGTTAAGATTACTGAGGTCATTTCAGGTTGTTCATCTCCTCCTTAAGTGAATTTATGACTTTGGTTATATATCTGCCTGGTAGTCCTGGGGGAAAGATCAAATGTTACAATGCATGACATATCACTTATTCAGGAAGAATACCAGATATGATAAACTCAATCTTTATTCTATTGTATTGATTCTATTACCAATTAATATACATAACTCTATGCCAGTAAATTAGAAAACGTAAGTAATATCAATGATTTTATGGAAAAGTAAAAACTGATTATCTTAGTCCATTTGTAATGCTATTTAAAAAATCAAGACTGCATAATTTATAAAGAACAGAAATTTATTTCTCACAGTGCTGGAGACTAGAAAGTCTGATCAAGGTATCAGCATCTGGTATCTGGTGAGGGTCTTCTAGCTACATCCTCACATAGTGGAAGGAAGAAGGGCAAAAAAGACCAAACTTCCTCCATCAAGCCCTTTCATGTACAATTTCATTAATCCATATGTTAATCCATATGCAAGGGCGGAGCCTTCATAACCTAAATACTTCTCAAAAGCTCTACCTCCTAACATTGTTGCATTAGGGATTAAGTTTCTAAGATATAAATTTTGGAGGACACATTCAGACCACAGCACTGATCATATCTAAATATATTTCTGATTTAAAGAGAAATAGAAAATGCAATTCAAGACCTGAATAGATCAAGAACACTTAATCCAAACATTGAGTGAGGGAAGAGGGTTAGAAAATGAGGTAATGCAGGGAGCATGGTATTAATTATGTTGAGCCTTAGAGGCTGTTGTAAGCACTTTAATGTAAGTAAAATGTGGAATATTTTGAGAGTTTCAAGAAGAGTGACATAGTCTAACTCTAATGTTAAAACTGGCTGATATTTTGAAAATAGATACCCTGTAGGAGGCAAGCATGGAAGAAGAGAGGCCAATAAGAGACTGCCCATAATTCAGAAGAGGGACTGTGGTTTAGAGCAGGGTGGTAGCAGTGACCACAGTGCAGACCAGGTGGATTCTCACTGCATTTTTTAAAGGTTTTCTGATGGATATGAAAGAGAGGATGTGAAAGAAAGAATGACTTCTGGTTTTTGGAATGACTAACAGTAGAACAGTGCTGCCATCAGCAGAAGAGGTCAGTATCTCACTTGGGCCCATGATGGGGAATTCTCTTGGATGTTCTAATGAGGCCGTCAAGGAAGCAGTTGAAAATGAGTCATGAGTTCAGAGGGAAAGGTCTGAGCTGGAAATATAAATATGGTAATTACTGCATAAATAGTATTTAAAACTTTGAGGCTACATGAGACCACCAAGTGAGAGTGTAGATTAAGAAAAACTACTCAGTCCTGAGGCATTCGAGTATTAAGAGGTGGGAGAGAAGATTAAGAATTAACAAAGGCAGGTAGGCTGGAGCAGTAAGTAAAGTAAGATAAGACAGAAGCCAGAAAGCATCCGGTGTCCTGGCAGCCCTACCTTTCCTTCTTTTGCACCAACTTCTCTTTCAGATCTTTGTCAAGGGCTATTTTACTCCCTGGACTTGATTAGGCATCTCTCCTAAGTGCCTCTAGAGTATCCTGCCCTTACTCTTAGCAATTGTCACTCTGTATTATCATGATTTATTTAACTCATCTCTTCCTCTAAATCCTAAGCTTCTTAAGCGGAGAGATCAAGTTTGTCTTGCTTGTAGCTTATTCCTAGAAATGACCATGGTGTGTGGCAAGCAATAACTGCTGAGCACAAGTTGGTTAAACTGAATTAGTAAAATTAGTACTTATCCTCTGGCTTCAGACCTGCAACTAGTGTCATAGAAAGAGTCTACTATGACTAACCCACTAGAACCACACATACACTTCTTTCCTCATATTTATTTTTCTATGTAACCATTTCAAATTCTCCAGTCTCAGTTAACTGGTGCTAACATGCTTCTGATTCAGGTAGAAAAAGAGGAATAAGGAAATTAATGCTTCTTTGTATATATTAAGCATACATATCAATTATGCCTTTTACATATTGTCTCATACATTTAACCTTCCTCACAAACTTAGGAAGAAAAAATATAATTACCTCCACTTTATGAGAGAAAACCAACATTTAGAAATGTTAAGTAACTTGCCTCAGGTCACCTAAATGGCAAGAGCCAGGATTTAAATACCTACAAAGCCCTTGGTCATGTGTGTATATATAAATAATGGCTTTATAGCATGTGGGCTCGTGTGTGTGGGTGTGTGTGTGTAAAAGAAATACTATCAAACAAAATAAAATAACTACTTACCGGAAAGTACAGGAGCAGAGACCCAAAAAGGATCGTTTCTAGCAGAATAAGGCCTGATGCTCTGATGCTCTAAAAAAAAAAAAAGAATTAAAATGTCATTCTTAACTTACACTTTTAGATATGGAAGAATTATGTTATCATAAAACTTCAACGAATAGACAGGATTCTTTGGGGGAAGTTAAATAGACAGATGAAATAGGCTAGTATTCAGGTAGGCAGACAATGGAAACATGCAAAAAGGCTGCCTTTAAAGGAGACTAAGATAGACTTAATTATATTGCCAGTGGCTTGATGAGATTTTATGCTCTACACTTCGAATCACTGTACAGTCTGAGCAGCTGAGAACACTATCCTGAATTATCCTTTCAGTCCAAGAAATTCAAAGAAACAGAATATCTCACCTGCATTTCTGAAATAGCCACAAGTGCAAATTAAATGCTATCTCCAAACCATTTCACAAAGACATGCAGGATGGACTGGTGGATAAAACAAGCACATGTACAAGGGCTTGTGGTTATACTCCATATCTCCCTCCACGCTAAAATATAATCCCCAAAACTCGCTAACATGGTTCTACTAGGGGAATAATACAAATCACATAAAATAACAAAGGCATCTCACCTTTGTACAAATTTGTATGTACAAATTTGAACACATTTAGTGTTACTGTTCACATAAAACTCAAAATAAGTTGCATTTTTAAAATTTCTGATATTTAGTTTGCTATGTATAAATACATCTAATAACCTTAAGATATTTTGTTATATTCAAAATCACACTATTTCCCCACCCCCCCCAAAAAAAACGCTTAACATTGAGGCAAGAAATAATGACAAAAAAAAATTAATCTTATAGCAATAAATTTTGCTTTGATATGTTAAAGTATCAATACAGAGCAAATACATATATTAAGAATATAAACACACAAACAGGTCGATGATGTAAGGGCCCTGTGTTCCATTAAATGCAACATAAAATGTGTACAGAACTTCCAACCAGTACAAATACCTAACTTAAAACGAAAATAATTTGAAGTCAGGACAATTTTGCAATGACAAAAAGATTCTGAAAAGCCAAATCACAAGAGTGTTTTGCGTAAAAAGAGGTCTCAGATAACCAGACAGTCAGAAAAAGAAAACCCTAATTCCCTCTCTAAAACTCTTGTAGAGCATCATTAAACACATACTAATTCTTTGTGCAGAAGAACTCAAGGATTTCATTAATTTAAGAATTTGGGAATACAGAAATGAGGTTAGTCAGTGTACAGCTTTGATTATTTGAGTGGCTTCTTGCTATTGGTCATTATTTTAACTAGCAAGTTGCTTTTAGTGAAAAGAATGGGTTTTTTGATAGACCTTCCAAAACAGCAAACTACATTTGCATAGTTTAATTAATGATGAATACTTTATAGCTAAATTTTAAACTTTCCAAATAGACAGACACTAAGAGGTAGGATCTAGGATATTATGTAAGGCTTCCTGCAAAGTAATCTGTGCACTATTGACTGAATCAGGGACATGAAGAGAAGCTATCGGGCACTGTGGAAAGGACAGACGTTGGAGTTAACCATCTCAGTATGAATTATGAAACAACGACTTTGAGTTGCACAGCCTTGAACTTCAGTGGCTTCACCCAAAATGGGTATCCTAATCTTTGCCTTATTAAACTTGACAGGTTTATTAAATATGATGTCTACAAAAAGGCTAGCATCATGCCTGGTATTTAATTAAGTACATATGTATTCTTCAAGGTAGAAAGCACTATCAGAATGATGAATGAGAAAACCACAAAGGTATATGTAGTTAATGGGCAAAATTTCTTTAATCCAAAATGACCCCAGAGGACGCAAAGGCCTGGGGGTAGGGAACCTGGACATTCTTCCTTAAGCTGTGGTCATGCTGTAGCTTGTTGGTCTCTTCTTCCATCCTGCAATATCTCCTGATAGTTTCAGGACTAGCAGCTCTTGTAGCTGTATTACAGCCACCACAGGCGTGTAACCGTAGCAGTAGTAGCATGTGCTTTTATTCATTCTCAGATAAAATGACCTGCCTCCTTTTCATTTGGAAATGTCGAACCATCTTCCTAACACTTCACTGCCTTGCTCCTGGTTAAGGAAAACAGTGCATAACTTCAGATTATGAACTGAAACTCTGAAAAGTGGCTCCATAATAAAATGTAAAGTCTATTTGAAATATGCACTTTGTTATTTTAAAATAATTCTTTGGCAAACTAGGCTTCATGATCTCACAGAATAAGGAAGAAAATAATATGTGGGGCTTCAGGACACAAAAGAGACCCAAGGTCCCTAAAATATTTCCACCCCCATCATAATGGTTCTAGAAGATCTTTTAACTGGCACAAATCCTTTCATTTTATACTTGGTGCCGAGGATTAATGTACAGTTTAACTTACACTGAATTAAGTTTAAAGTGATATATAGGAATCTGATATATAGAGTCTCAGTGATAGGGTAAGGAAGAAGAAAAAAGGTGATTTGGGGACTCTTTTTCTAAAATAGCAATGAGATCTGTTGTCAAACAAGGACTAACAATTAAGTTCATTAAATTGTCCTAGAAAAAGTGCATTGAAGGGTGAACTAGGTGCTGGTGTCAGTGCCCAGCTTGCAAGGGGAGTACTTCAAAGATGACCATAGTGATATTAGCTCATAAGGTATGTATGTAGCACTTTTTCTAGGAGGAGTTTGTGAAGTTAATTGTCAGAACTCGTATATACCTTAATGTAAAAATACTTAATTGCTAAAACATGCTAACAATCACCTGAGCCTTTAGCGAGTTGGTGAAGGTCTTGCCTTGATGTTGGTGGCTGCTGACTGATAAGGGTGGTCATTGTTGAAGGTTTGGGTGGCTTTGGAAATTTCTTAAAATAAGACAATGAAGTTTCTGCAACAACTGACTCTTCCTTTCAGGAAAGACTTCTTTGTCATGCTGTTTGATAGCATTTTTCCTACAGTTTAAGTTCTTTCAAAGTTGGAGTCAATCTCAACTAAGTGTATCTACTATTCTAAATCTTTGGTCATCATTTTAATAACATACCTAGCATCTTCACTAGCAATAGAGTCCATCTCAAGAAACCACTTTTTTTACTCATTCATAGGCAACTCCTCATCCATTCAAGTTTGATCATGCAATTGTAGTAATTCAGTCACATCTTCAGGCTCCACTTCTAATTCTAGTTCTCTTTCTACTTCCCACAGTGATTTGCTGCATGAAGAGCACTCAAGACTAGAACCCTCAAAGTCACCCAGGAGCACTAGAATCAACTTCTGTCACACTCCTATGAAAGTTGGTAAGACAAAAGGGTGGTATGGAACAAATGTTCACAAATGTTCTTTTGGTATCCCGAAAGATGAATCCTTTTAGAAGGGTTTCAATTTATTTTTCTCAGAGGAATCACTACCTATGGCAGCTATGTATAGCCTTGCAAGATGTACTTCTTAAATAGGAAGACTTAAAAGTCTATATTACTCCTTAATTTAGAGGCTTAAAAATTAATGTTGTATTAGCCACATGAAAACAATATTAATCTACTCATACATTTTCATCAGAGCTCTTGGTGACTTGGTGCACTGTTAATGAGTAGTAATATTTTAAAGGAATCTTTTTCTCTGAGAAGTAGGACTCAATGGTAGCTTTAAATATTCATTAAATCAGGCTGTACACAAATGTGTTGCCAACCTGACTTTGTTGTTCAAGGAGCAAAAGCAGAGCCAGTTTAGCAAAATTTTTCAGGACCCTAGGATTTTTGGAATGGTGAATGAGCACTGGCTTCTACTTGTAAGTTGTCAGCTGTATTATCCCCTAATGAGAGAGTGAGCTTGTCTTTTGAAGCTTTGAAAGCAGGTAAGGACTTCTCCTCTCTAGCTATGAAAGTCCTAGGTGGCCTCTTCTTCCAATAGCAAACTGTTTCACCTACATTGAAAATATGTGTGGCCACTTTCATCAATTATCTTAGCTAGAGCTTCTGGATAATCTGCTGTAGCTCTCTCATCAACACTTGCTAATTTAATTTACCTTACACTTTTATGTTACAGAAATGGCTTTTTTCTTCCAACTTCATTATCCAACCTCTACTACCTTGAGACTTTCCTTCTGCTGCCTCCTCACCTCTCTCAGCCTTCACAAAATTAAGAGAGTTAGGGCCTCACTCTGGATTAGGATTGGCTTAAGGGAATGATGTGGCTACTCTGATCTTCTCTCCAGACCACTAAAAAACTCTCTTCATATCAGCAATCAGACTGTTTGGCTTTCTTATTTGTGTGTTCACTGGAGTAGCATTTGTAATTTCCTTTAGGAACATTTCCTTTCCTCTTACAACTTGACATGCTCTTTGACACAAGAGTCTTAGCTTTCAGCGTATCTCAGCTTTCAACATGCCTTCCTCACTGAGCTTAATCATTTCTAGCTTTTCATTTAAAGTGAGAGATACATGATTCTTTCTTTCAAATGAACACTTAGAGGGCATTTTAAGGTTACTAATTGTCCTAATTTCAATATTTGGCTGTCTCAGAGAATAGGGAGGATCATTGAAAGGAGAGATATGAGAGAACATGGAGGAATAACAAATTGGTGTAGTCAGAACACACACATTTATTAAGTTATGTGAGCATGGTTCATGGCTCTCCAAAACAATTACAATTCTAACATCACAGATTAGTGATCACAAATTATCATAACAGATACAATAAAAAAGTTTTAAATATTAGAATTACCAAAGTGTGAGAAAAAGATACACAGTGAGCGCATACTACCAGAAAAATGGTCCTTAAAGACTTTTACCAACACAAGGCCACCACAAACCTTCTCTGTAAATATGCAGTATCTGTGAAGCACAATAAGGCAAAGTGCAATAAAACAAGGATATCCATATACGTACACATAGCAAATAAAAGTCTGGAAGATATGCACTAAGCTGATAGCAAAGGTTTTTTTGGAGAAGAGGATGGATTTGAAGATAGATCAACTTATCTGGAAATATTTTAATTTCTTTTTTTAATTAAATCATAGCTATGTACATTAATACTGTCATGGGGTACAGTGTCCTGTTTTTAT